CATGCCCCTGTTCAAGGTAGAACAGCAAATAATATATCTTCTTCTATAAGCAAAATTGAAATGCACAAGATGGCTAGATGATTTGGAATAGCATCCAAGGGAATAGACATACATTTAAAGCAAATTAAATAACTCATGTTTTGTAATACTAAATTTAGCATTGACCATAGCTATAATGCAATGGCCTTACAGAGGAAGTTGCAGTTGAACATTCAAGGCAAATCTGTATACCTTTATTTCCCTTTCCCAATCTTTACTAAAGATTTCCTCTACTCTTTTTGAAATTTTTTGGGTTTTTTCTTTCTTTCTTAAAAAATATTTATTTTTTAAGCAATTATTAAGAGTTACACTGCATGTGATTCTTAACTCAAAATGGCAGAGAACATTGAATGTCGTTGTTTAGTGATAGTGATATAGATATAGAATTGTTTCTCTTTTGTTCAAGGATGGGGGTGACATGCCAGCAGAGTCAAGAGGTAGTTGTTGAATTTTTGACACATTGAGCCCTACAGATTTCCCATCACTGTCCTACATCAAGCACCCAGCTTTGGCATCGTAAACCTTATAGTTGAATACTGTATCTGCAGAGGGCTTTTTAAAAACAACTATGTATGTTGCATACACATACAGTTGGTCATAACAGAAAAACCTCTGAGAGGCTGCTGACACCTAAAGCCTGAAGGTGACTTTGGGGCAAGCAACTTTAGGCCTCTTATTTAACTTCACAGAATTGATGTTAAGAGAACATGGGGAGAATTAACTGAGTTCTTTGCATAAATTGTAATAAATACTGATGCAACTGTTAATTTCCCATTTTAAAAAGTAGTCAGAGAAATAAGGTGGAAGCTGCAAACATGATTAAGCAATATTGGTAGTCCTCAATTTACAATCACAACTGAATTTCTGTTGCTAAGCAAAGTGATTGTTAAGTAAATCTCATTCAGTTTTGTGACTTTTTTGCCACAGTTCTCATGCAAATCACTGCAGTTGCTAAGTGAATCACGCAGTTGTTAAGTAAATCCAGCTTCCCCCATTGACTTTGCTGAGGCCAGCTGAGAAGGTCACAAATGATGATCACATGACCCCAGGATGATGCAACCTTACTAAGTACACACCCGTTGCTAAGTGCCTGAAATTTAATTGTGTGACTGTGGGGATGTTGCAGCAGTTGTATGAGGGTCAGTTGTAAGTCACTTTTTTAATGCCATTATATCTTTGAACCATCACTAAATGAATGCTGATAAGTTGACGACTACCTGTATTTGTGTATCCTTGTATATTCTGCCATAAACATCCCAGTTGTATTTATATAGGTCTTTACATTTACACTTGGGAATAAGTAGGAAACAGTAGTTTATATACCCCATGCTTGTCTGTATAAGACCAAGATATACAATCTTTTTTGAAATAGGAGCCATATTTAGCCTCTAAGTGACATGTCAGGAGCCAGTCTCCAAAGCATGAAAGGATGATGCCAGGACAAAAGGGAACATGAATTAATTGTTCATATGATTTATCCATGCATATTTCAGAAATTACCCTTTATGCTGCAGTAATACTTTCATAGCAACTTTGGGAACCCTTGGCTGCACAACCTCTAAGTATGAGACCTTCTATATGCTCAGTCTGCTATTCAGAATCCCATAGGAAATGAGTCCAGAAGGTAGAAGGGCCAAGACTATGGCCATAAGAGGGCTGAAGGAAAGAAGGAATAATAACAAAATAGGATAATATGCAGTTGATCAGGAATATTTGAATTGAATGTTTTGCAAACTTACAAAATGTATTTGGAAAATCAGTCTGAATGTATTTAGATGTTCCAAAAGTATTGGGCCAAACTGTTGAATTAAATCGATTCTATTTGGATTGTCTCAACTGTTTAAAATGCAAGCAAGCTTCCATAGAAAATACTTGAATTCTGATTTATTTGAATCCAGATAAAAAAAATTTAATTGGCATGATCTGTGAAATTGGTTTAAATGTTCAGATATTAGACACCCATTACTGATGCTTCTAGGATGCTAAAGAATAATGTATTTGAAAAGAAGAGCTCATAATCTCTTGTATTACCCAGAACTAGTTTTGGGACCAAAGCCTGCTACAAGTATGCCAGATTTCTCCACATTAAATGAGAATCTTGTTTGTTCTACTCAGTTGCTAAGCAGAGGATTTTCCCAGAGCAGGCAAAAATCAGGGAACTGTTTCCATGGGAAAGATCATCCCACGCAGAATCAAATACAAAGTTGTCATCTTTAAATCTACACTACTGCAAAACAAAATAAAGACACCAACCAGAGCAAGATGGTCTCTGTCTGTGTTTGACTCTGTATGTGAAAAGGTCGGTTTTAATAAGCTGCTATTTATCTGGGAAGTGTGAAATAAACAAATCTTCCTTTCTCACTGATTATTTCTGCCCAGATACAGAATTTATTTTTTACTTCTTCAGAATAGAAAAATGGATATGAATTCATCCTGCTGCTTACTAATTAATATCCAGTGCAAGATAGTTTATTGTTTTGCCCAGATCAGAAAATTTTCTGGAATATAAATTTTAAAGCATAATATCAAAATTCAAGAAGAGGGCTTCAGAGAACAAACAAAGGTTTGTTCTTTCCTCCACATAAACGTGGACCCCTTTCAATTAGGCTTTCTGAGGGGGGTTATTTTTAAAAAAATGCAAGAAGGGAGAAGAAATATAGCTAGTTTCATGGAAAGGGAAATGTGTATCCGTTATTCTTAAAATGCAGTTAACAAAGAAACGCTTAGGTATCTAAGCTCATTGCATAACTGTCGAATCTTTTTGAGCTACAATCTGACGAACGGAGAATTTGGGATGTCAGAAGCTCACAGCCTGCTCATCCACAGCCTACATTCCTATCTGCCCACGTTCCCCCCGCTGTAAGAGAACAATTTCTGCCATCTATAATGGCTGCCCGGGTCTGCAGCAGTGCCCCCCCCCTCTCCCCACCTCCCCCCGTGCGCTCAGGCTGAGATCCCTGCGCCATCTTGAGTTCCCATTTCTCGACACACACAAACCCCCTTTTCCGGCGCCGGTTCTTCGTCGTTCTGCTCCTCTCTCGGGTGCTGGGCAGTACTTTGGCCCACCGTTGCGACTTGGATGTCTCCCAAAATTCTGCCAGGCTAGGGAAAATACCCGTGACTTAACAAAGACGTAATATGATTTATGTGTGTGTACGCGCCCGCCTGTGTGCGGAGAGTATAACAATATGTTTGTCAGAGAGCTACTGTTTTCATTTCGTTTCTTCTCTAGGGCTTCCCTTTCATAATCCAGCAAACTTTCCCAAACGTGAGACATTTTAAATCACTCTTTCGGTTTTGATCTCAGAAATGCGGGGTAGCAAATAATAAAGCGAGCGCTATTGGCAAAGAAGCATATTCACAGCTGCTTGCTTTCAAGCCAATACTCCCCACGCAGGAGTCTATCCAAAGTCTTTTGTTTCGGTTTGTTTTAACTTGAATTGATCTCAAGAGATCGACATTTTACACGGAAAGTGTTCAAAAAATTGGTTTCATGAAAACAATATTTCTTCTTTTTTTCCCCTCCCTCTTTTGGTTAATTTAATATTTTTATCATCCAGATTCCAGAATGTTTCCACTTTTGAAAAATGGGCTTTTGTCCTGTAAGCCTGGAGAAACAGAATTCAAAAGTCTGGATACCATTCTCTTACTAGTATTTCCATTCTTCTTTCCATTTTCATTTCCTGCCTTTTTTAGTGAATAGGAAATCCATAGGTATAAAGCAAAGTTAGCAAAAATAAAATATAAAGATTCAAAAAAAAATTGGTGAAATTGCTGCTGTGTTGATGACAGTGGTGGTGACAATACATGTTCATTTTAAAAACATTTTTACAAATATTGCCTTTTTTCATTCTGCCTTTCTGATTTATGCTAGGTATACCAGGCATAATACAGAGACATCAAATTGTTCTGGTTCCAGGTATTTAAATTCTTCCCAAATCTGGAGTGTATATATATCTCTCTGTGTGTATCTGTATGTATGATCTGCAACTATTCAATCTGCTTTTTAAAAATATTTCCCTTTAGCTGTTACAAATATTCTAAAATATCTCTGATGTATTGTAAACTTACAAAATTAACTGATAAAAATACAGTATCTTTTTATTAAAAAAATATACCAGAAAATAAAATTATATTGCACTATAATTCTTAAAACGCTAAGAATAAAATCTCAATGAACTGACAGGATAGAAAGCTAAACTAGATTCTTTCTTTCAATGCCTATAAAACAAGAATACGGCATTTTAGAGACTATAAAGCCATTTATTTAGTCTATGAAAATAATGTACAATAAATAATTTGCATTTTATTATTAAAACACTTAAATAAATAATCTACTTCTAAAAGGTAAGGATTCTTCCTTCCTTCCTTCCTTCCTTCCTATCTGTCTATCTACCTTTCTTTCTTAAATTAAGACATCTAAATGTCTTGTTTTGGTTCCTGAGAATTTCATTAGGACATTTTCTTCTTGTTCTGCATTTGTTAATATCTACTCTGTTCAAAATGGGATGGGGGGGGGGGGCGGTTGAAATACGGCCATGGGAGAAGAAAGAACCTGATGTATGAAATGTGTCAAACTCTAAAGGGCATGATTTCTTGAGCTGAAAAACAAAACCTCCTTATACAATTATTTTGTATTTTTAACACCTAGACCATCTGCTTGACCTCAAATGCTCTATTATGCATTTGCAAAAGGGTGCAAAAAAGGAAAATCCTAATGTTATTGAAATATAAATTCCCTTTGGAAAAAATGATCGAAATATTAAACGCGATCATTTCACTAAAGAGAAGGAAATGTTCTCCCTCCCAAGGAGTACCGAGGGGGAAAAATAGGAGTTTCGTAGTTAAAAGGTTTGAAACACTTAACTGGGGTTGTGTGCTGCATACACTTTTTGTATTATTTATAGGGGTATATTACCCAAGGCAAATAATAAATCGGAGGTTCGAGGTTCGAGAGGTTATTAAAAATTGAAATGGGGCAAATCCAACGCACACAACGTGCTGGTAAAAAAGTCTAGGTCTTCTAGGGAGAAACTTATAGGGCTATCTGCGCAGCCCTGGAGGCTGGGTGAAAGCTCTCCTGCGGCCTGTGGGCAGGAATTCGCCGAGAAGGCGCTCGGGTCCAGCGGCAGCAAAGGGGACTTCTGACTTCCCGGGAACCCGTCGCCCGGCGAGGAGCCAGAGCAAGAGGACGAGCAAGAGGAGATAGTGCGACCGCCGGCGGTTCCGCCGAGCTCTGCCGCCGGAGCTCTGCCCTGGCTCAGCATCGGGTAAGGCGCTGGAGCGCTCCGAGTCTCTCTGCTGTGGCTGCCGGCTGGGTAGGGACAAGGCATCTTCCGCGCTCCTCTGCAGGAAGAGCTGCCGTTCTCGGCTTCCCCTGTTTCCTGACTGCTGCCTTGGTCCTCTTCGGCGGGATCTGCGCTGTGCTGTGTTTGCCTCTTGTGCTTCATCCGACGGTTCTGGAACCAGACCTTCACTTGCCTTTCCGTCAAGTCCAGCAAAGCCGCGATCTCCACCCGGCGGGGTCTGCAGAGGTATTTGTTAAAATGGAACTCCTTCTCCAACTCCAAGAGCTGCGTGTTGGTATATGCCGTCCTCAGCCGTCGGGAAGCTTTTTCACTGTGGTCTAAATACGTGTCTGGAGGAGGAAAACAGCAAAATTACACAAAGCAACAGAACCGGCTAAGCGAATGGCCCCATCTCGGTTTTTTCTTTGGCGGGGATGCGGTGGACGAAGGGCTGCGGGATGGGAAAGGGAAGGGGAGAGAGACATTTTAAATGGTTTGGTAAGTTCTGTTCGACCCCCAATGCCTGTGTACCCAGGGACATCCAAGGCAAAATGGCTGGGGTGGGGTAGGGGGTGCATTCTGGAAAAGCTTCATCTATAGAGGAATTCACATTCAAGAGTGGATGTTCGTTTCCCTGTGCCTTATCCTTTCCTTTGTACTTTGCTATATATGTGTGTAAAAGGAGGATATTCATAACTAAGTGACCGAAAACGAACTCTAAATAAGCAAATAACACAAACTATGAATAAAAACATAGAGAAAAAGGCAGCATATCTTGAAAGATTTATCTCCCTATTTCCAACCTAAAAAAAATGAAAAGCCTTAGAAGCTGGCCTCTCCTATCCACTAGCCGATTGGGTTGGGGGTGGGGGTTCTACCAGGTCCTTAAATTCATATCTCCTGCAAAACCTTGCCTTCCTCAAGGCACCATGATAGAGATGGGTTGATTAGGTTGGTTAGTAGATGAGGGACATTAGTTTCAACCTTGGAGCATTGGACTGGTTGCCTAAAGAAGGGTTCCTTCGGTGAACTGTAGAGGAGAAAGGGGGGGAAAAGACTTTGGGTTTTCCCTTCTGCCTTCTTTCTGTTCCTCGTTCCGCTACACTGGAAATAGAAGCAGAGCAGTTTATAGCCAGTGCCACTCCCCATGCCTCCCAAAACATAGCAACCAAACTGCCTTCCATTCTCATCCCCAGAATCAACAGTCTAAACCCAGAGGAAGATGCTATACAAGAGAGCCTAAAAACGATGTGAAATAGGGGAAATTGAAGTGGAGATTCTCAGTTCTGGCTGGGCAGGGGGAAAGAAGAAGGAAGGAGGGAAGCGGGGAAGGAAGGATTCATCCTAATCTTTCAGTAACTGAGATTAGAAATGGAGATGGATATTCCTTTGCCCCCTTTTCCAACACTTAGTGATTCTTAAATAGCAGATTTTTTTTGTCTCGTCCCTCCACACTGCCAGCCACCCAAATGTTCACTTTCCCCACCCCCACCCCCCACCCCTTTACAGACCTGCAGGAGAAGCCGGGACAAATCCAGGCACAGAAGAGGAAGGAGACAAAGAAGCTGGGATCTGGTTAGCTTTCTTAAAAGATTTCTTCTCCTTCATCCAGGGGAATTCTCCACCCAGAGCAGAAGACTGGAGCGTGGCTTTCTGGGCCTGCCCATGCTTTGCTTTCTTTTGGCTCCTCAGCACAGGCTGGCTGCTGGAACAAGGATCCAAGCCGAGGAGGGTTTGTTCCAAAGGAGGAGGAATTAACGTCGTTGGTTCCTTGATTGATGAAGTTTGAAATGTCTCCAGGACAGCGGGAAGGGACGTCAGACACTCCGCTAGCGATGGCTGGCTGTTTATGAAGCCTATCTCCCTCTCAAATTCAAAATTCATGGCTTTTTCCAGAGGCCCAGTGCAAAAGGAGGGGGCGGGGATGCGGGTGGGTGGGTGGGGAAGGAACGCTGGATATTTCAGGCCCTTCCAATATTTTATATCCTTTTTAATGTAAGTATTATTTGCAGTCTCCTCCCCCTTTTCTACCCACCTTTTTATTTTTATTTTTTAATATCTTATATTGCTGATAAAACAGGCGTATGGGGACCTTGCTCTATTAAACTGACGAGCAGGGATAAATTGCAGCCAATTCCTCATCACGTGACCTGGCTAGCCCAATAGCAGGGCCATCCTAGTTGAAAATAGAGGGTTGGGGTCCCCCCCATCATAGCTAATAATAATTGCAGCCATGACAATAATAACAGCAATAATACTCCCACTTGTCATGCTTGAAGATTTCTTGTCCTGATTATAAAAGCTAAATCCAGAGGAAGATGCTCCTTAAGATTTGACTGAGGAGGCAATAGTGGGCAAGAAGTTGATGAACAGGTAGCGATGTTTACAGTTTGTCTTTTAAGTTTATCTGGCAAATGGCTCAGGTGATAGGACCAATGAAGATGGGGAAAGGGGTGTTGAAAGAGAGGAGAGGTATACAGAAGAAACATCCCATTATTCTAAAATTTCTTCTCATTTAAGAATCAGCCCTACTGAAACAATGAGAAACGAACTCATGTGAAACAGCTGGTTTGAATCTTACCTGAATTAAAAACATTCCAAACTACCCAATTCAAATTTGTACGAAAGGACTTTGGAAAGTGTTTCTGATAATACATTCTAGAGCAGACGTTGGAATGTTTGAGGAGATGGGAAAAGATGGGACTTAGTAACCCAGGACCTATTTTAAAAAGCTTCTTTAAAAGAATACAGGAAAGAATAACTCCATTCTCCCAACAGTTTATCATTTTTCTCCTCTCAAATGAATATTTATGGGATCCTCAACTTAATTTTAAAAGCTTTCCTTCAAACATCAAAACTGGTTCTTAGGGATGTATCTAAGAATGTTTGTAGGCCTCCACCCCCATCTCCTTTTTAAAAGTTGTCCACAAACTGAGCAAGGAAAGAGCAGGGATTGAGGGGGAGAGGAAAGCGATCAATCTTTTCTCACCAAAGACTTCTGACAGGCAGCTGAGGCTTTGCTCACTTCTTAAAGAATTTGGATATTTAGCAGAATTTCTGAAAGAAGATTTTTCCCCCCCACAAATTTGGACTTGATTTGTAAAGGTACTAAATAAAATAGTTTGAAGGTTCATGGGTGGGAAATTGAGATGAGGTTAAAAAAGATAAACACCAAAGAGTATATGAGAATCTAAAATGTTGTTTACCATTTGTTTATTCAAGCTGCATTTTTTTCTAGCCTCAGAAACAATAGAAAATAGAAGTGGGAAACGTAGAGGGAAGAGGCAAAACTTAGAATATTGGTCAGTTCAAACATCCATGTGGGATGAAAATCTTAAATCTGAGAGAAACAAATACGTGAGGAAAATGTATTTCCAAAAGCCTATGTGGGCAGACTTCAAATGGGTTCTGAAAACTACAATAACAATAATGTAAATAACATTATTGGCAAAAGCAAAAATAATCCAGTATTTTGAAAGGTGTTTGCACTGCTGTGTCTTGTAGAATTGTTAAATCTTAAGTATTTCAAAGCTGTAGTCCAAATGTTATTTGGAAGCAGTAAAGTTCTTGCCCCAGATTATGGTATGTATTTTATTTTGGAAAACATGATTGAGTCCTGATTTTTTTTAAAAAAACCATCATATGTGAGAGTAAATATTCCATGGAAATGGGTTCCATTTCAACAGAGCAATGGATCTGAGTAGCAATGTTATTCTTTACATTTTCCAAAATGACAGCCACATTTGTAAAATTACTTTATTTTGGGTTATTATTTAATTTGAATAACCTCTAACTTTTGATTCTGTTACAACCTCCAAATTGGAAAGGAATGCAATGTAAAAGAAAGGCAATGAAAGAAAATGAGTGCTTCTATTTGTATTAGACTGCTAAAACATTAAGGTGGGGTGAAAAAATAAAAAGAAACAAATCAGTGTATTTGTAAGTTTCCTTTCAGTGCTTGAGTTTAGTCTGCAGAGAAGTTGCCAATAGAATTTCATCTTCAATTCCCTTTCATGCTGTGAACACCTCCTTTCCATATAAAGTCCATTTAGCTGATCATATTTGATCTAGCTGCATTTGCATTGCCGATATTAGTGCCATTCATTGTTTTCAACTAAAAACCACTGACTTTATTGGTTTGTCTGGTTCATCTAGACTACAGTGATGATGAATAATATTTTGTAATAATACAGATGCAAGATTATATGATGTTTTAGACACAGATTACAGAGATGGTTGGATCTAATATAACTAATTTGTCATAAATTCTGCCCCAACCCTGAGATCATCATGAGAAGTCCTGCTCCAGGTATCCTCAAATGCTGAAGCCTTGGTGGAAATCCCTTCCAGTTTTGGAATATTTTGCCCATTAAGATCCATATGATTCTACTTGGCTATTTTTCATAGCCTTTTAATTTCTGTTCTGTTGCTTTCAATAGTTGTATTCTGGTTCTTTTAAATCTTTGCTGTTTTTATAAATTATTTTAAAGAATTGGTATATGTATGAATTAGAGTTTTCTTTAAACTGCATGTTGCCCTAAGAGCTATAACTTTAGGATTGCTAGAAAGTTTTAGAAATAAATATCTAAATAAATATTTCACTCTGGGAAAAGTTAATTTTATGAATGAAAGAAATTTTTAATTTGTAAATCAGTGCATATCTTTAAAATATAAATATTGAAAAATAGAATTAAGGAAAGTCAAGTGATTAGTGGTATAAAATACTGAATGCTAAGAAGAAATGCAAATTTGTACAATTTTTCTGAAAGCATTTTTTGTTTTTACAACACTTGCCATTGTTTTTAATATAGAAAAAGAGAGAGAAGATCTTAAAAATTCTAGCTCTCAATATCTGTTTACACAAGATTCTGATGTTAGCTTATTCAACTAGATATAGAGAAAATTTGTTGGAAAGAATATACCAGGAATGCAGGGGAGATAATTTTTTGAACTGGTGAAGGTATGGCTGAAAGGTGAGTTTTCTTGGACATTATCAAAAGTTAGAGTTTTCTGGCCAATTAACCTTCATTTAACCTGAATTTTTTTAAACATGCTGAAATAACAGCCTTTTAACTTGATAGGAATTACTTCTGAATATAGGATTCTATAGTTGCTAAAAGGGCAATATGCAAGTATTAAAAATAGTAAAGTTTCCCTGTTTGACACATTTAGTTTAATATGTCTGAGAATGAGGCACTCCCACAGAAAATAACACTGATTTTAAATTTATAATCTGATTCTAAATTCTTGATTTTGAAAGCCAAGTTTTTTAGCATAATGGAACTTTCTCTTTCTTTGTATGTAATGGTGGCAGTCCTAATATAAGATAAAGAATGCACTATTACTCCCTAAGATTTATTTATTTTAGTAGCCTGCCAGGAAGTAGGTCTTTTTGCTAGAATAATTTATTTGAGGAAACCCTTTCACAAAGGTCTGAATAACACAGGGGCCAATATTTTAGTTTGGTTAAATCATCCATAAAATCACAGACAGGAAAATGATAGTGGGGGAGGGGGAGATACTGCATTCTTGACTATTGTTGCTTGATCAGATCCCAATCAAACTTTCCACGCTCTTATGCTTTTAAATTACAGCACCACAGAATATTAAATTACTTCTTGGATGGATGAGCATAACCCAGCTACAACCATGAATGCAAGAAAGGGTGCTTCGGGTGCTTTTAAAAAATGTTATTTATGATTGCATGAAAGCTTTAATTATCAGTGGAACTTAATATATCAACAAAACAAAATCAAATATTTTTTTAAGTCCCTCTGGCCTGAAATTCATGCTTGTTTGTAGAAGCAATCTATATTTCTCCTCCTTACATTTATTAAGGATAGATCCACAGACCAACAATAGATGGAAAGATAAGTCTTTAAAGCAGTGAGAATAGTGTTGCCATCTAGAATGTCTCTAATCATCCTGCTGAAGACAATGGAACTGTTTTGGAGCTCAGTTGACAGCAAATTGAGATCACATTTATACTGTACTAAAATAAACAATCTGCTGTAATATAAAGCAATTTGCAGCAGCCTTTCTAAGAAGCTATATACTAGGAAGAATTATGCGAAGCCAGTCCTGTCAACTCCAGTAAGAAGTTAATGAAGTGCAGGAAGAAAGTTCTACGAACCTGGCCTATGGTCTCTCTATATTTTATATATAGATAATATATACTGTATATATATTATCTCACATAATACCAGAAATATCTGCAGAATAAGAGTGTTTCAATATCCGCAGAGTAAGAGTGTTTAATATATTTGCATATGAGGTAGTTCACTTAACATGTGCATGGATAATGTGACAAGGCCTTTTTTAATATGGACAAATATTTACTTATGGCCAACACACTATAGCAAGTACTCTATCTCTGTGTCAATGTGACCGGTATGATTCATGTTCACTATAGTCCAACAAATCAGATTGGAGAATGCTGTGGCTAACGAATGCTTTGGTTCCTTCCCATAAAACTTTTAGAAGCAAGTGATGCTATTGCAGAAAGGACCACAACCTGAATTCAGCTAAGATGGTTCCACCCTATACACTTTATTTCTATGGCATAGGGGAAGTACAAATAGTAGCAGGTCCATAAAACAGTAGTATTGGGCCTATAACCATGTCTTCATAAAATCAGAGAACATACAATTCATTTACAGTTCATACTGAGATTGTACAGTCTCAAGTCTGAAGTTGGATAAATGCCTTTCTCTAAAATTGGTATTAATCAATAACATCAGAGCAAAAAAAATGCTGTTGCATCTGATTAGTTGACCATCTTTTATTCTATAATGGCCAAGCAGATGCTCCCATTCCTCACAAGCAGGACATAGCCCGAAGTCTTCTTCTACTGTTTTCCAGCATTTGATTTACAAAGATATGTT